GAGGGAGGGAGGGAGGGAGGGAGGGGGAGAAAGGAAGGGGAAGGGGAAGGAGGAGGGGGGAAGAGAACGGAACAGAATGGCTCTGTCTGGATAAGGAAACAATCCCCAGGTTTACATTATAGTCACTGTGGTGGTTTGAATAGGTTTGGCCCGACAGACTGTTTGAAAGCTGGGCCCATAGAGAGTGGCACCATTAAGAGGTGTAGTCTTGTTGGAAGGAGTGTGTCACTGTGGAGACAGGCTTTTAGATCTCCTGTGTTCAAGCTATGCCTAGTGTAATACACAGTCTCCTTCTGTTTCCTGTGGATCAAGATGTAGAACTCTCAGCTCCTTCTCCAGCACCACGACTGCCTACACTCTGCCATGTTTCCTGTCATGATGATAATGGATTAGACTTCTGAAACTGTAAGCCAGCCCCAATGAAATGTTTTCCTTTATAAGAGCTGCTGTGGTCATGGTGTCTGTTCACAGCTAAAGTACTGAGACAGTCATACAAGTTTTCTTCAGGAGCATATTGGTCTGAATACTTAGAACACTGAATATGAATTCTAAGTGTCTAACACATTATTAATTATCTAGGTATATCTGGATTTGTTCAGAGGTCTGCTAAGTAGTATGAATTATCAGCTTCATGGGTGCATTAAAACACGCCCACAATTTATCTATCAAGGTTTGCAAAAATACAGCAAATTCAGGAATGGGATGAAATCCAGTCTTCATTATTTAAAAAATAAAATGAACATAAAATTAAAAGACAAGATATTTGATGATAAATTATGTGAGCAACTTTTAAAATGAAATGTTTATGATAAGCCACGTAATCTACAAATATTATTTCAACTTTTCCAGTAATAATCTATCAATTAGCTTGCTAGTAAGTTAAGATTTGCACAGAACAACAGGTAGGTATTCAGCAGGTCACAGATTAGTGTTTATCAAGTAAGTACAGGTAATATCAAGCCTTATTACTGAAAGCTTTTATTAGTTACTGAAGAAATAAATATAAATTATTGTCAGAGGAAAAGAATAATACTGAAACAAGACACAGTGTGCTAATCTTCCCACATTTCTAGATTTTGCCTCGTCTTTATAATACAATTGTTAAAATGATACGAGTAGTTCCCTCTTTGTAAGCCCATTTATTGTTTGAAACTTTTAGGAGACAGACACACATGTAGATGTACTGACTTTTAAAGTAAACAAATATCCTCACAGACTATTCTAGAATAAGTGATATTTTACCTCAGATTTTAATGACACACCTGTGCTACATTTAGGTCTCATTTTTTATCTTCCCCATTTGACAAATAAAGAATGTTTCTCCTTTAAATCCTCCTTCTTCGTTGGTATTCAGGGGGCATACTGGAAGGATGCTACTACCACTCTAGGCAAGCAATTACACCTTACTCTCTTTTGGCTTACCCTGCTAGTGCACTTCAGCAATGGTGAGAATCAGAGAAAATCAAGTCATTGCTATTCTACCAGAGGAGTCTCTTACACATCTGCCACATTAGAAGCAGAATAGATGGAATAAATTTATAGAAATGACATCTATTGAATTTAAAATAAAAATAAATTTCATAAGAGTTGCAAAGCCACAGCCATGAGAGGAATGAAAAGTGAAATAAGAAGTCAGAGGAGTGAAAGGCAGGAAGCCAGAGCATCACACAGCAACCCACGTCTTTCCAAAGGGAGCTTAAAGTGACACCATGCGAAGGGTGTCTTTTTACTCCAAGATGGTCCTACTCTGATAATGACCACTGTTTAACCCAAAATTAAATAAAAAGTAAAATGGAATATACATTGTTTTCAAAGTCCAAACTTTGGAGTAAAATGAATTTGGCTTGAGATTAGCACCTTAAAAATTCTGAATTTAAATATTTATTCCAGGTAAAATTGAATCACCCGTGATGCCTGCTATTAGAAGTTCTAACCCAGATGGACCAGAAGCCAGGAGCCTCGCCCTTACCCTCACCCCCTACCTTTTCCCACCTGCACAAGGTCCCCTGAAGCTGGGCAACTGCAAGATCCTGCTTGGCAACTGCAGATAGACTCAAAGCAGTGTACCATATCATCTGAAGAATAGCAGGGAGACCATAACTCAAGCAGTGTACCATATCTTCTGAAGAATAGCAGGTTGCAGTCCTCCTCGCCCCCACGAATAACCAGGACCCGCCGGTCGGGTCAAGTGGCACCCAGACGTGGGGCTCGAGGCACGGACCCATCCGGACGGACCCTCATTGAGAGGATGTGCACACGACATCAAGATTGAGCAAGACAGAGATCATCGCCCATGACCTGTCGTCCACGGAACCAGGTTGATGCTGCCATCAAGAAGGCAGTTGAAGTTCATTACCATCAGCTGAAAATTGCAGAGGATCCAGAAGTGACTCCGCAGGAGACTGACACAGCTGTCAGCTCCGCTGCCTCCCCCTACGGTCGACCCCTAGACTTCCACGCCCTCTAGAAGGGTTCCTGGTATGCCTGGCTTTGCCCTCATTTCTCTCGCTAGAGAGCTTGGCCTCTTGATCACCACAACAAAAATTGGCTTTTTCCTAAACCAAGGCCACCCTTGATATGGCCGCTAACATTGGGGAGCCTTCCTTTATGACAATATTACACCCCAAACTGACAAATGGTTGGTAACTTGAACATTTACAAGAGACTAGGATGGCTGTGAGTTAGTCCAATGACGGGATTATTGTAGGTCCACTTCCCAGGGGCCCACCCAATGCAGCCGAAAAGGAGTGCGTGGTGCTGGGAGTGGGTGCAGCCTACATGGCCTAAGACAGGGCTCTCACCCTCCTTTCACCCACATCAGAGTCCCTTGACGTTGCCCATCGTCGACCATCGATGTGACTCGTCTCACATCAGTGTTTTGGGGTTGTGAACTTG